TTTTCGATTTAGCTACGATTGGCATAGTTAGTTTGGCGCTATCGGCAATAGATTTTGCTTGGGATTTGGCGTATACACATGTACCTGACAGACTTGCAATTGTTTATAGCCGTTTTACACTAACAAATTGACGTCTGACAAAAAAACGTTATATACATTTCTTTCATGTTTTTTCCCATAGAATCGATTGCTGCTATCAGTTTTTTAAAAATAATACCTTTTTGATAATTTGTTTAAATAATTTCTTATAAACAATTGCAAACGGCAAAAGAAAAAACAGGGGTATTTTTTTTTTCCGATTTAGCTACGATTGGCATAGTTAGTTTGGCGCTATCGGCAATAGATTTTGCTTGGGATTTGGCGTATACACATGTACCTGACAGACTTGCAATTGTTTATAGCCGTTTTACACTAACAAATTGACGTCTGACAAAAAAACGTTATATACATTTCTTTCATGTTTTTTCCCGTAGAATCGATTGCCGCTATCAGTTTTTTGAAAATAATAACTTTTTGATAATTTGTTTAAATAATTTTTTATAAACAATTGAAAATGGCAAAAGAGAAAACACGGGTATTTTTTTTTCGATTTAGCTACGATTGGCATAGTTAGTTTGGCGCTATCTTTCCCAGGTTTGGCATGGGCCTTAATGGGTTAACTCGGTTCCCAAAGGAAACTTACAAATTCTAATTTACCTTCGTCATCCCAATTTGACAAGATACCATACCATGTAGAAGCTAGTTGTACTCAAAGTTATTTGAAGGTCAAAGGAAAAAAGTTAATAAAGAAACCCGGAAGAAAAATAGATATCTAAATTTTTAAGGTCGTTGAATCTAATTCCAAGGTCTACTAATCTGTATCACATCAAGTTTAAAGTCATTTGAGGATTAAATGGTAAAAAGTTGATAAAGAAAGATAAAGATAATAGATAAAGAAATATAGAGAAATGGATATACATATCCTTTAAAATAATTTGGTGATAATAATTGTCAACATTTGCAATTAACAATCTTCTTTGACTTTTGAAAGACCTTGAACCTGATGTGATATAGACTAACAGATCTAGGGTTCGGGTTTAACAACCAAAAGTCTTTATATCTATTTTTCTAGATTTCTTTATTATTTTTTTACCACCTAACCTTCAAATGATCTTGAAGCTAATGTGATACAAATTAATGGATATTAGAATTGGATTCAGTGACCTAGAAAACCTATACTAGTATATCTATTTTTTCAAGTTTCTTTGTTAATTTTTATGATCAATATTTACACTTGATCTTTTAATGACCTTGAACCTCATGTAATACAGGTTAACGGTCCACGGATTTGGAATCAACGTCCTCAAAAACCCTAAGATATCCTGGTGCAGTATAGTCATCTTAGATATTTTGTATTGACATACTCTGAATACGAAAGATCGAAAAATCCACCCCTTCACCATCTGTTAAAATAGATAGAAAAATAACAAATGATATATAAACGTAGATGTAATTAATATGGAGTTGACAGAGTATTTTACAAAGTATCTTATAAGCAAATATCAGTCTGAATGTACTGGATCTCTTTATAAAGCAAATGATAGTATTTTCAAGTTTGTTAGGGTTGCTTGAGCAGCTAGTGAGAATGGGAGTGATTTGTTTAGAGTCAAAATGACTTATTGTTTGTAGGTATAAAAAATTTTTGTCCGAATTCTTTCTACCAAAAATAATTTTAGACGAAAACCGCCTAAATCGACCCACCTCCTTTAGATCTTTAGAAGTAATATCGGTAGTGAAGCTTACATAAAATGACTTTTACTCGTAATAGGTTAACTCTAACAAGCAAGGTACCCCATCCCGAATTCACCAATTTTGATAATTTTTGTTATCTGTTGTAGTACATTAAAAAAGCAAGAGATTGGTATTTTTTATCGGCGGAAAAACATTTTTTTTTATTTTTGTTTAACGTCGATCTATTAATGCTCCATCAGTGCTAATCAGCGACGGCGGCTTGCAATGGGTTTGAGAACAAAGCATATGAAGCTTTTTTCAGTTGTGCTTATATCAATCTGCAGAGACTGGGAATCGAACACGGGCCTATCGGGTGCAAGTCCGTCGCCCTACCGACCGAGCCATTGTAGGACTCATCGGCGGAAAAACATATTTAAGAGGTGAAATCCACCCACAAATTTTATCCCCAAAAACATTTTTTTTGAATAACTTTTCTTCTAGTCAATATTTTTTAGTAAACCAAAGTGAAAACCGGTTTATCTAAAAATTTAGGGGGGTCTTTGGGGTACGTTAGACTGTAAAATTTTTTTCTAACCTAAGTTTTTCCCCCAATATTGCCGAAGATACAGTCGTTTAACCAAAAAAAGGGAAATTGGCACTTTTTTGTTCTTTTTTCACGTTAACGTTACAGGTTGAAAAAAAGTGTTTTTCCAATCAACCATGACAGATTTTTATAGGAAATCTTCTGCAAAAAACGAAACCTCCTGTCCGTTCACTGAACGACCAGTAGTTTGAGATATATCGGCAGTGAAAAAGAATCCTTTTGCATTAAAAATTCGATATCTCAAAGACAAATGGTCGTGTCTGACTTCTGCAAAAACCAAATTGAAGCTGAATGAACAGGCTATGCGACCTATGCATTGGGTTAGCTCGGAAAGACTTTTTTAATGCCCGTAGAGTAAAATAATAAGGTAAAAATTTTGGAAAATTTTTTTTTGTGCTTTATCCAAGTCTTCAAGCTTCAAAAGCTATATTTTTTATTTCCTGTACGACAATTTATCACTGAAATACAGCCTGTTGAAAATTGCTAAAAAAATTAAAAATTTTTTTTGTTCCTTTAATTTATGCGAGAAATGTACGAGGTCTGTCCGGAAAGTATCGGGCCTACCTTTATATTTTCGTGCTAGCGTTATTCTTTATCATCTGGTAGGTGGCATCCTTCAAAGTAAACCCCACTTGATTGAATAACACGGTTCCACCGATGTTTCCACTTTTCAAAACAGTCCTGGAACTCACTTTTAGGGATAGCCTTAAGTATACTCGTCGCATTGTTTCAACCGTTGTTTTGTCATCGAATCGGTGTCCTTTGAGTGGTTTTTTTAGTTTTGGAAACAGCCAAAAGTCACAAGGGGCTATGTCGGGACTGTATGGAGGTTGTCGAAGCAATGCGATATTGTGTTTGCTCAAAAACTGCTGCATAAGATTGGATGAATGCGCTGGCGCATTATCGTGATAGAGAAGCCAGTCATCACTTTCCCAAAAGTGCGGCCGTTTTCTTCTTACAGCATCACACAAACGTTTCAAAATTTGAACATAGTATTCTTTATTGATTGTCTGACCTGTTAGTGCATATTTGTGATGTACAACACCTTCATAATCGAAAAAAATAATCAACATTGACTTAACATTGCTCCGACTTTGACGTGCTTTTTTTGGTCTTGGCGATTCAGAATGCTTCCACTGTGAAGATTGTTGTTTTGTTTCAGGATCATAACCATAAACCCATGATTCATCACCTGTAATAACTTTTCTAAGCACATTATCATCATTATTGACCATTTCCAAATTGTCCAGAGCGATTGCTAAGCGAATGTTCTTCTGCTCTGCTGTGAGCAATTTTGGGATGAATTTCGCACACACGCGTTTCATTCCTAAATTTTCGGTTAAAATTTCTGAAATGATAGTTTCTGATATCCCAAGATCTTCTTCTAGTTCTCGTTCAGTCATACGATGATCTTGTTCGATTGCAAGTCGCACCCGCTAAATATTATCTGCGGTTTTTGTCGTCGAAGGTTGGCCGGAACCAGAATCACTATCGATAGAAGTGCGACCATCCTTGAACAGTTTATACCACTCTTTTATTCGTGTTTTGCTCATACACTCGCTTCCGAAGGCCTTTTGCATCATTTTAATAGTTTCCGAACTCGTTTTTCCGAGTTAAAAGCAAAATTTGATGCAAATTCGTTGATCTTGTTTTTCAGTCATTTTTGACAATATCAAAATCCGACGAACGCGAAAAAGGCACTGTAAACAAAAACACGCTGTGCATGAACTATACCTCCGGCAGGTGTCAGTAAGTAACCAATAGATTCGTGAGTCTTTACTGTTGACGTTTCTATCCAGTAGAGGTCGCTCGAACACTATGGCACGAAGATATAAACGTAGGCTCGATACTTTTCGGACAGACCTCGTATTAATTCATTACCTCCTCTCCCACATATACTTTTTATAAAATATAAAAATCAGGTAAGTAATTATTCAAATTTCATTATTATATAGATATTTTCGAAAGTACTATATAAACACCATTCATTTACTTTGTTAATCACGATAATTTTTAATATACTGTACAAGGAGAAACGTGAATTCCGAGTTGAAATATAACCACGACTCTGTTTATCAATTACTTTTGTGGAAAAAAGCTATGAATGCTCCAGCTATTGCGTAACCTACCAAGCATATATTTAACTATTGCGCATCCATTTATCCTTTAAGACTCTTATTTCACAGTAATCAACAATCTTTTTACATTCATACGTTCATTCTGTACACCATGTCTACTTCTTTAAACTATTGCAAAATTCTTATAAAAGAAATTAGGTTTTGTGAAGGTCATACTGTCGGTGCTGCTGCTAGCTTCAGCTTCATAGTATGTGTATGTACGAGTATATCCACGTACACACAGATCCATCCGGTCCAACGATGGCTCGCGCTAGCATCGAGAAGTAACCTGCGTCGAAGGAATCGCGAATAAAGTGGTTTCCCCGGCGCAAATATTTTATTTTTTTGTACTCAAAAATGACTTGACGTTCAAAATATTATAATATCGAATTTTCGCAAAATATAAACACTCTGACCCTCTTATTTCTATTAGCTTTTAGGCTATAAAGAAAGTTGAAAAAAATTTGTCGTGAAACTGATTTTAGTAGTCATTTGTAAATTTATTTGAAGCGCAAAAAGGTAAAATAAAATGGAAAATAATTAATTTATTTAATAAAATTAAGACTTACTTCAGTTAAGTTATTTTCACAATAAATATCTTTTTTATTTGCAACATCATCGGGTGAAATGGGTCTATTAATTTTTGAATCTTCTAACAATGGTATATCCGTTTCTTCGTTGCTAGTTTCAAGTTTCCCACGAACTTCATGAAGCTTTGAACTTGCAGAAGATTTTCTTCTATCTTTACTACACCATTTCCAATCAGGATGAGCTTTGAAATGAGCTTCTTTGACTTCTGATGCTAAGTCATGATATTTTTGTTTTTCTTCTGCACCCAAAGCGTACCACCATTCGCCGAGAATTTTGGAAACAGTACGATTATCTTGATTGGGGTGTCTTTGATGTACTAGAGCTCTGTGTCTTTTTGAAAAAATCATGAAAGCGTTCATTGGTCGACGTATTCTGTCTTTTATCTGTAAAAAAATAAACAATAAATATTAAAATGAATGCCCTATCTAGACAACTACGAATTTTATAAAGCTAATTTCAAGAAGTCATATTATCAACATTTTGACGGGTGATGCGATCGTCGAGATCGCTCGCCCTGTTCGCCTCTCGCTCTCCCTCTCGAGTGCCTTCCCCTTCGCCGCTGCCAAATCGATATCTTGGTAGTTCGAATTCGAATTCGAATTCAGGTTTAATCGGCGTCGGTAGTCGGAGCGGCGGAAGGAAATGGGTAAGAAGAGGAGAGAAAGAGAGAGAGAGAAATAGTGTCGCCGACGTAATCCGCACATGTGTGCGTAACCGGAGACGCTTGGCCGATTTTTAATATTGAAGGAAGGGGAAAAAATATGCCGCGAAGAACAAGAGAGCGCGAGCAGTACTCGCCGGACCAGCATCGCGACAGTAATCGAGCGAAAAACTTAAGTGTCGAGTGAAAAAAGAGAAATTCCAACGGACATCTGCCTTCTCTCGTGGCAACAGAAAGTGACAAGGAAGTGGTGACAAACAACGGGCCTTCCACAGCCGTATCACCAGTAGTAATCGAGAGGACAGACAATAACAGCTAACAGGATATCAACGAGTGGCAGAGCAGCATCAGCTGTAGCAGCTCGTCAGGTCTCCGACGATGTCCCTCCCTCCGGTCAGGTACTTCTCTGTATTTTCGGAGACGAGCTCGCACGGCCTTTTCCTCTGATGCCTAAAACCACATCGGAGTATTGTAATTGGACAAGAGTGAATAAAGAATGTTAATAGATGAATAATTCTCGATAATTCCTGTTCTCTCTCCCGATCTCATAATTGCAGTATTAAGGATTGCCAGACGACGAGAGCCCATCGACGCCTTCCGCGGCGAAGCAAATGTGTCTTCCGTATCCTTCCCTTTAAAAATAATTAGTGACGCGACGTTATATGGGCTATTTCTTAATACGCGAATCGCGAAGTTAAATTAAAGAAACGAACGTGTTACAACATCAACATGTTTAATTATACAATTGACATAATTGACAAATGTTGCTTAAAATAAATTAATTTTTAAGTAAAGTAGCTGCAAGGGAATTAAAATTTTTCTTCTTGGTCTTTAGTTTACGATACTATTCAGTATCTAACCTCACAAGTATAAGTTCAAGAACTCTGCTTGGTTCAGTTAAATTGTTCAATACTTTTGCATTGAAAATTCTTATTTTGATTAAATTAACAATAAACATTTAACAGTAAATATGGAATTTCAGAGATCAATGAACGAGAATCCGTTGTCAAATTATTGAAATTGAAAATTATGATCTAATGTCGTAAACGTTATGACATACCTAATTCATAGATGCGCGAATTGTGTATGTAGGTAGTTTATGGACCCGACACGTGGGAAAATGGGTTATTACATCACCAACTTCTTTGTTATCAGATATATCGCCTTACCTCCCGACTCGAAGTCTGGTCGGTGACAAGAAATGGAGCAGGTATTTGACCTGGCATAGAGATAGCGTCCCGTTCGGGATACCCGTACTAGACAACACGTAGAAACGTACTAGCTCTTCCAGCCTCACTTGCAAAAGAAGAAAAGATATATGACAATCACTGTGACAATCGTCGATAGCGATTTTGGGTAGGAATCTCTGTAGATGACATCTTTATTATTTACATTGATGAATAATTGTATCTAGCACGAGATAATTTAATGTATTATTCACTGCCCTTTATCGCTCATCTATATACTAGTATACTATTCAGCGCGCTCTCGCGCGCCTTTTTTTAATTAGTATAGACAAAATATTCTTTTCAATAAAAATTGATATCTAGATTCAATATTGTATTATAATTTTAACTTAATAGGTTTTAATATAAATGTCCTATAAAAATAACACAGGCCGACAAAATTTAGAAAATGGAAAAACCCAGAAACCAGACAGTACGTTCCCAAAGGTTTTTGGTGCGCTGAAACCGAATCTGACCTCAGAATTGCTCCATCACCCTAGGTTTTCGAGAAATCCTAACCTAAAAGTTCAAAAAACACGATTTTTCACTATATTTCGCGTAGTATTACGTCGTAAGACAATTTTATTTTAAAAAACGAGTAAAGCTATCTCAAAGTACTACTCTTACCCTTCCAAACCCTTTTTTCAGATTTAAAAAATCTTTTTTTTCCATCGAGATATCGTAGATTGAATTTGAGTGATTTAGCGATTTCGTTACAGCACGAAATAGTGACGAATTTCCGAATAAGGAGTTATAGTGTAACTATATGTTTTTTGGGTCACTGAATCCAAATTTAACGTCAGAATGACTCTATAATCTCAATTCCCTTAACCCTCGAGCGCTTTAACCTGCTGCGGTATAACCCCCGACCCTCACATCCCAATTTCCTTAATCCTCGAGCCCTTTAACCTGCTGCGGTATAACCCCCGACCCTCACACCCCAATTTCCTTAACCCTCGAGCCTTGAACCTGCGAAGCTATAACCCCCGGCCCTATCGAGAGTTAAAGAAATTCGGGTTTGGTGGACGGGGAATACCGCTGGGTCAATGGAACAACGATAGACGTCATTTCTGCGGTAAAAGAAGGTAGAAGAATTTGTGTATGTGATAGGAAAATTCATATCCAACTTACGTATACAAGTACAATTTACGTTTACATACAAGTGTCTATAACTTGCGAAATCGATCAGCTAGGATTTTTAAACTTACATTTTTCTGGTCTACTAACGATGAAGAAAGTATCTACGTCAGCTGATATCGGATTCACGTAGGGCCTAGATTTCCTTACTTGAGGATAACCGTGTATGACATTGCTCAAAAACTACAAATTTTTGTGCTTCGTTCTTCATCCGTGTTAGAGATCGTGTTTGAGCGGAAAGCTAACGGAGAAGTCACTGGAATTAAATACTTTCTATTATTTCTCATATAACACTGCGTGCAGTACTTTTACTGATCTTTATTATTACTTTGTCTTCTAGAAATTTAATTATATTTACCCATTTCGTTATTAGAATAAGTTTATAATATTACTCGTGATTTCCAATTAACTTGTAAGTTATTGAAGATGTCGGCATGTAGAATTCCATGCAAAGGAAAAATCGATTCCTTTTGTAATATCTGCGGTAAATTTGAGGTAGCTCGACATCGTCGATCAATCACTGATATCATTAAAGATCAGTTTGAAGAATGTTACGAGACACCTATGAAGAATTTAGACAAATCATAGGTTCCTAAATATATTTGTGAAGACTGTCGCCGAAGTTTGAAAAACTGGAATAAAACTAAAACCGAAGTTGTTCTCCAACCAACAATATGGCGTGAACCTAAAAATCACCATGATGACTGTTACTTTTGTAAATGTGATACTTTAGGTTTTAATCATAATAACAAAGCTTCTCTCCTTTATCCGAACGTTTCTAGTGTAACAGCAGCCCAGTATAGAAAAATAGAAAGAAAAAAAAATTCTGATTCTGAGCCAAAAAAACTTCAACCAATAGAAGTTCCGGTAACAGACAAAAGCAGCAGTAGTGATGAAGAAGATTTTTCTGACTCAGAAAAGCCCAAACTTTTCGACCAAAATTTTTTGGATGATCTGATCCGTGATTTGAATCTTCCGGAAGATTCTTCAGAACACTTAGCTTCAAGACTAAAAGAAAGAAATCTTTTATTACCTGAGACAAAAGTTTCTATTTACAGGAAGAGAGATATTAAATTTCGGCCATATTTTACTTGCGTGGATAACCTTGTTTTTTGCAACGATATAAAGCATTTCATTAGTTTATATGGAGTGCAAGGAGGTTATAATCCAGAGAACTGGCGACTCTTCATGGATGCATCTGTACAAAGTCTCAAGGCAGTACTTCTGCACAATGGGAATGAGTATACAGCTATTCCCATTACTCATTCCACTGTGATGAAAGAGTCTCACGATTACTTTCGATTCCTTCTTGAGAAAATCAATTACAATGAACACAAATGGCTCGTTTGTGGCGATTTCAAGATGATCAATATATTAGTTGGCTTGCAATCTGGAAATACGAAGCACCCCTGTTTTTTGTGTCTCTGGGGCAGTCGTGCACGAGGAGAACATTGGGTTCGGAAAGAATGGACGAAAAGAATCGGAATGGTTGTTGGATCACACAATGTCATCCATGAGAACCTTGTTGATACTAAAAATATCTTGTTACGTCCACTCCATATAAAACTGGGCTTGATGAAGCAATTCGTCAAGGCACTAGATAAGGAAGGCGAATGTTACAAGTATCTTCAGGGCAAATTTCCTAAATTGTCTGAAGCGAAAATTAAGGAAGGCATAATTGTAGGGCCAGACATTCGAGCACTTATGAAAGATGATGAATTCCTCTTGACAATGACGACTAATGAGAGAAATGCTTGGATAAGTTTCAAAAGTGTCACCGAGAATTTACTCGGAAACCACCGGGACCCTAAATATAAAACTGTGTCGACAATGCTACAGAATTTTCAAAAATTAGGGTGTTTGATGAGCCTGAAAATACACTTTTTGTTTTCACATTTGGAATACTTTCCGGACAATGTTGAGGCGTTCAGTGAAGAAATGGGTGAAAGATTTCATCAAGATTTCAGAAACAAAGAGGAACATTATCAAGGTAGATGGAATGACAGCATGATGACTGACTATTGCTGGGCTCTACACCGACACGATACATTGACAGATCATCATAGATGCAAATCTCTTAAACGTTCATTTCAAGATAAACGACAGCGTTTTCATAAAAAAAAGAAGTGAAAAACTGTAGGGTTGCAGATATTCAGATGCAACGCTCACAAACTGAATAAATGAGATTTAAAACGCGTAATTGAAAGCTGCGTAGAATACAAGGCTTGGATATTGAAGGGATTGAAATGTAGAGACATACGGTTATACGATAGCAGCTTGAAGTGCTGATTGACGAAATTCTGGCAAAGGAGTCTGAGGTTGCAGACTTGCAGGGCTCGGGGGTTGAATATAATTTGGA